CCCCCCCCGGGGAAGGGCAGCTTCTGACGGGCCTGCATTTCTCTTTCTTCTCCCAGCCTCTCCTGCTCTTGGAAGGGCCTGCCTGCTATCCACCCACCTCTCTGGACTTCTAACCCAGGCTTTCTTGCCAGGGCTCTCAGACCACTTCTGCTGCCCCCTTGCCTGCATCCCCCCATCTTTCTCTCTTGGTCAGCAGGAAGCAAGGTGTGTTGGAAGAGTTGGGTGTAGTGCTGTGGAAGCGACCCCGTCAGCCTTTCGGCCTCTGCTGGTCAGGTGGGCTTTAGCAGCCCCTGCTCCAGGGGCTGTGTCACGGGAACGGCCCTCATGTTTGCCCCGTGTTACCTTCTAGCCCCAGGCCAGGCCTGCTCTCCTCTCAGACGGGCTACAGAGAGGGCCACCTTCTTCTTCTGGCCTTTTTGCTTTTCTTATCTCATCATCCTCCCCCTTGTGTTTATGTACAGAAAAGACAGAGAAAAACATGACAAACCCTGTGGCTCCTAGCATTAACCTGCCAGGCTTGCCTTGGTTTGGGTGAGCGTGTGGATATGTTCACAGCAGTCGTTACTGATAAACTTGAAGACCCTCCTTTCCTCCCAGAGAAACTCCAGTAAGGAGTTTGATCTTCACTCTTTGGCCCAGTAGGGGTGATTGCTGACTTTTCTGAATTCTCAGTCTTCTCAAACCTTCACATCATCCTAGCTTTCCACAGTTTCTCCAGTCACATCTTGGGCCTTGCACCCCTGTCCTTGGGAAGCCCCTTCCCTCATTCCTCTGTGATTTGCTTCATCTTGGGTGTTGATCAGGGCTCCCCCTGCCCTGTGTGAAGTCGTTGCCGCCTCTAGGCCCCATAATCCGTTTGTAAATCACATCTCCTGCTTGCTTTACTTTATTCCATCTTCTGCATACACTAGTCACTTCCTCCAGTGCCCTCTGTTTTCAACTGAAAAAGATGGAGTTGAGTATTAAGGAAAATTACACTCATGTCCAAGATTCCTGAGAGTCTAGCTTCATCCCTCTTATTCTCCACCCTTATTTTTGAGTGATTCCACTTATTCCCTGGGCTTCAGCTGCCCCTGTGGGTGTGACGGCCCCTCCAGCTCCTGCCTCTCAACCCTCTGGCAGCCCCATCTGGCTGTGCCCATGTGCCCTGAGTGACAGGCTGGGCCTGCTTCTTCCGTCACTGCCACTCGGCCCCACCCCCTGTCAGAGTTCATGCCTCACTGTCACACCTCGTGAGGGCTGGCCTGCTGACCCTCTGACCTCCTCCTCGTACCAGCTGCCAAGACCAGCCTGCTCCCCTCCTTCAATAATCTCCCATGTTTTCACATCACTTTGGAGAGTTTATCATAAAACTGACCATGTTTAGCTTTCTCCCGTGAGCTCGGCACACAAAGGGGGTGCTGGCTCACGGTTCAGCAAGTGTTTGTCCAGAGAGTGGGTGAGTTAGTGAGAATCTGTGATTATGAGTCTCAGTGCCCCAAACTGAGAGACACGCAAGAGGTGTTTTGCCCATAGTAAGTAATAAAGTAAGCGTTTGTTCATTCTGTTTTGATATACACAATAAACTTAGAATGTTCTTGATTTTTTTATTTCTTTTTGTAATGTGTTCCTGTTTTCTGTTCTGTTTTGTTTTTCTGTTTTTTTTCTGTAATTAGGGTTTGAATACCGACTTCGAGAAATATGCAAGGACTTACTGGGTCCGGTTCACTACTCCACTGGAAGCCAGTGGGAGTCAACAGTAGTGGTAGGTGCTTGTTTCATTCTTGCCGCAAGAACTCTCATTTGAAAAGTGAAGGTGGAGATTTATAAGATAAACCAAAGTGCTTTGAAGTTGTTCCCCACCAGATTTCTTCAGCACACTGCTTCGGGTCCCGAGGCCAGTGTAGGGTAAGAGTTTGGCCCTCAGCATTAGGACCTTGAGAGCATGTAGTCAGCCTGCTGAAGAACGCCTGCCCAGACTTGGGCTGTGGAGCTTACAGTCTGGGGGAGAAGCAAACATAAGCAGATAAACATACGAGGTCAACCACGCATTTGTAGACTGTGGATTGGTACCAGAAAGCAAAGCCACAGGGAAAGAGTAGCCAGGGAAGTGCACAGAAGAGGACTTTTAAGATGAGAGTGACCAGCTCTGCAGTGACCTGGGGAAGAACTTCCTGGTGGAGGGAACAGCAAGCACAAAGAGGCTTTCCGGTGCATTTGAGACCACTATGGCTGCAGCAAAGTGACAAAGAGGAGGGCAGGGGGAGATGAGGCAGGAGAGATGAGCAGAGGTGGATATGGAGCCCTTGTGAGGTGTGTCTTTAGTCTAGGCATCAGGAGCCATTGAAGGGAGTTTCCACAGGGGTGACAGGAAATGGTAAAGCAGTCAGGGCAGGTTTTGCAACAGTACCCGCAATAGGTGAAGGGTTTTTGGATCAGTGTGCTGGCCACGGAGAGGAGAAAGAGAGATTCAAGAGGTTTTTAGAATATAAAACCAATAAGACTCGGTAGTAGGTGAGGCAGAGAGAAGACTGGTCACCTCCAGAGCGTTGGCTTGCCCAGCTGTCTGCGTGCCAGTGAGTGACATGGGGAAGGAGCAGCCTGGGAACGGTGGTGTAAGATGTGCATCGAAGGGCTAGCTTCACGCACTCCTTCGGCAAATAATGAAGGAGCTCCTGATGTGGTGTAGGGCAGGCCTCAGTGAGCAAAGTGGAGGGAGTCCCTGCCTCCATATGCACAGACTAAACAAGTGAGTGAGCTGATGGAGTGTGCTGAGAAGAACAGAAAGAGGGTCGCGTCACCTGGATCCCTGGTGGGGTTATATAGGGGGAGTCAAAAGAGGCCTCACTGAACGACTGAGCAGAGATCAGAAAAGGTGGTGGAGACACCATGCAGATATTTATGGGAAGAGCATCCAAACAGAGAGCAAAACACAAGCAAAGGCCTCGAGATGGCAGAGTTACAGGTGTCAAAGGGCAAGCTGAGTGGAGCTGAGATCAGGGCTCAGTCCTCACGGGGCTTTGACAGCCTTATTATGTACTGTGTCCTCCTCTTTAATCATTCCTTTTTTATTTTGTTACACTGTATCTTCATTTGGCTGGGTAGTGAAATCCTAGATTCAAAATTGTTTCCCCTAGATCTTTGAAGGTATTTTTTTTAATTTTTAACTTTTTATTGTAATTTGTATGAAGGTTTAGCCACAGACTTTTAGCATCTAAAATATGTGATGCAAATTGCATTTTCATTGCTTTGTGGGTACTTTGGGGATCCTTTCTTGGTGTTTGGAAGTTTCGTTAATTATGTAGAACCAGAGAACAGTGACTTTTTTTTTTTTTTTTTTTTTTTTTTTTTTTTAACTTCTCTGATGATACTTCTTTCCATTTCCCCTGATATCTAAGGGCTGTAATGTCCTTTCTTTAAAATCTGCTATGTCATATATATATATATATATATATATACACACACACACACATACGTACATATGTACGTACATACATACATTCAGTTCTCTGCCAAAATTTTCAATCTAGTCTTTTTTCTACTTGAGTATAGTTTTATTTTAGAATTTTATTTTAGGTAGTTTTAGGGCAGGAAGGCTATATCTTCTGACCTCCTCTAACCACACAAGAGGAAGACAGAATCACCATCAGTAGCCCAAGGCCTATCCCTGCGCAGCCAGACATGCTGCCTCCCTTCAGCCCTGACACCAACCGTTCCTCCCGCAGCACCCATAGCCTCTCTGCTGGGTTCGATAATTCACTGCAGTGGCCACATAGAACTCACAGATTTTGGGGTTTATTACACTTCAAGTTCAGGAACAACACTCAATCTCTCTCAGCCAGCAGTCTCTCAGCCAACAGTCTCTCTCAGTCTCTCTCCTAGCAGTGTGTCTCTCAGCGTCTCTTTCTCAGCAGTGCATGTCTCTCAGGAGCGTGATTCTCTCAGCAGCATGTCTTTCGCAGTCAGAGAGACTTCTTCTGCCTCTAGCAGGGCTCCTTTTGAGCCTGGCAGAGTGGCCAAACTAACCAATCATAACATCAGAATTCTAACACCTGAGAGAGCGAACTACCCAGAACATTGCTTTGTACCACTCTCAACAGAAAATACCCCAGGTGGGTAACTTTAACAATGGAGTTCCTCAGTTGCTCATGGCAAATTCCACCTCAAAGTTTACAAAGACTTATGGCTAGAAGAGCCGTACCAGGTAATTTACACTGCAGGAGCCCTGGGGTTTTTGCTGGTTCTCATTCATGTTGTCTTATCTCCTCGTGTCTCTGTTTATCTTTGGCTGTCTGCTGGATATTGTATTTGAAAACTCATTTGAAGAAATTGTTTGAGGCCTAGGGCAATGTTGCCTTCCTCCCCAGAGCACTTTTATTTGCCAATGCCAGCTTCTTGAGGCTCCAGCACCACACGGTCACCTTGATCCAGTTCAGGGATTGAGGTTTTCTAAGATGCCCTGGGGAGCTCTGGTAGCATAGTGGCTAAGGCACTTGACTGCTAACCAGAAGGCTGGCGGTTCAAACCCACCAGGCACTCCTCAGAAGGAAGATGGGGCAATCTACTTCCATAGTGATACTGCCTCAGAAACTCAAGGAGGGGTCGCTATGAGTCGGGTCCAACTTGACGGCACATAACAACAAGGTTCCCTGGGGATTCAAAGCTGAGTTCTCACTAGGGCAGAGGATGGTTGGCTTCCAATATCCCTGTATTCCTAGGCTGCATTCTTTGGGTGCATCAGCCTAAAGGTTTAGTAAAGCCTTGCTTTGGTCCCTCTGGGCCCTCAAACTCTTTTAGAAGCTCTGCTCAGTCTGTTCCTCATCAGTAAATGGTCTTGAGGCAAAACCATCTCTCTCGGGGTTTCTGCCTTCTTACAGCCCAACCCAGTCATTCTTCACTAGCACTGGCTTCTTGGAGGTCTGCGTCTGTTTGCCCAGCTTCCCCCTGTCCTCAGCAGAGAAGGTTATTCTGAATTACTGGGCTGGTCCTGGAGGCAAAAATTTATAGCTGCTTCTTATGTATCTCCTGCATATAGTAACCAGAATATATTTCTAGGTTACCTTTTATTCCTTGAATATTTTGGTTTTTCTAGGCTCAAGGAGCCCCATTAACACAGTGGTTAAGCTCTCGGCTGCTAACACAGAGGATGATGGTTTGAACCCACCAGCCACTCCACAGAAGAAAGCTGTGGCAGTCTGCTTCTGTAAAGTTTGCAGCCCTTGTATGGAAAGTGAATTTGCTCTGTAAATCTTCACCCAAATCACAATAAGATAAAAAAAAAAGAAGATTGCAGCCTTAGGAACCCTATAGAGTTGTTCTACTCTGTCCAATAAAGTCACGATGAGTTGGCATTGACTTCACAGCAATGTGTTTTCTAGGTTCACTCTTTCATTTGTTCACTCTGATCTTTGCTTTTGAATATGTTCTTATGCTCATCTGGGCATTCCTGGTTGTCAGATCATAGTTCTGAGTAAGGGGCCCAGGTTGTAGCTGGCTCAGGTTTTCTTTGTTAGGGGCCGCATTCCCAGCAGGTCAAGTGCAGGTTTGGGTTTGTAGTCAGCAGGCTGACAAGCTGTCTACTTGAGTAAGAGACAGGCAAGTGGATGCCTTAACCCCTTACCAGAGTGTGAGGCTTCACTCTGTGACCCAGCTCCCACTCTGGGCCCTTTACCCTGAGATGTCACCCATGGCTCACTGTAGTGCTATCTCTGCCTCAGTGTAAGCTCTCTAGACCACGGTAGTACAGAGGGAAGGAGGCACCTAAACACTGTCAATTAATAGTTATAATTCTTCTTCTTCTTTCCTTCCTGCGAGTTGTTCTTGCTGGCTCTGAGCAAGGCATCTCATCCAGGCTTTCCATAGAGGGAGAGCAGTCTCCTGGGTGCGTTCTGGCCTTTGATTGCCCTGCCCTCCAGTGTCACTGGCCAGCGTGGTCTCACCTGCTTGCCACATTCTATTAATAGGGAAAGGTCAACCTGAAATAGCTAATCTGCTCATGGCTCCTGTATCCGTGCAGGTACTTTCAGCTGCAAGTAAATGATAACCCAACTAACAGAGGCTGAAGTAGGGTTTTTATCTCTCCTCAAAAACAAATTGTCTGGAGGTAGAAGGCAGCCTACATCTCTGCGATTCTTCTCACCTTTCCCTCGTTAGTTACAAGGTGGCTTTCATGTCCAAGTTCAAGGAGGCAGGAGGACAGGAGAAAGCCAGTACCAGTAATGTCTGCCCTTTTATAGGAAAGAAAAAGTTATGCGGGAAGCCACCCCCTGCCAGCAGATGTCTCCTGTGTCTCACAGACCAGCTCCGAATCACATGTGTACCTCATTGCAGAGGAAGCTGGAAAAGGCAGCATTTGGTCAGCTTTTCTACATCTTAAAAAGCATATGTAGGCAAAAGACATCTTGGATGGGATTTGAAATAGCCGGCTCCTGGAATCTGCCCCATCTCCTCCTGACCTCAGCGATCTTCTGAAATACCACGCCCCCTCCTTTTTTTTTTTTTTTCCTGTTAAACTTTTCTTTTACTGTCTTTTCGTTGAAATATTAGGGCCAGAGGAGGTGAGTGTGTGATCCCTCTACTGTCCGTTGAGATTCTTTGTGGACACTTCCTCAGTGAGACTTTGTCACTCAGGTGGAACTGGTCTTCCTTTGAGATGGCTGGGGAGATGGAGCTGGGAGTGCTGCTGTGGAACCCTCCCGCCTGGGCTGATGAGGAGGACATCTTTTCGTGTATCGAGGAGCCTTGTGTAGCTCCTTTTCCATGGAC